TGTTTCCTTTGTAACACTCAGCACTGCACTAATGTTCCTTCACCAGCTGAAGAAGGCAGAGGGGCTGGGACATACCAAATGAGACAAGAAGGGCCATCACACCTACATCCTCAAGCAGACATACTAAGGCAACTTCTGTTACCTCAGTATGGCATTTCTGTTCAGCATACACTGCTGCACAGTCATGAATATTACCCAAACCCAACAAATGAGCACAGGTGCTGAGGAACTTGGTCTATGAGCATCAACAATCTCAATGTATTACAGGAGAAGTTTGCACATATTCCACTCTTTGTATAGCAAACCAGTACAAACGTCAGGTTTCTGGCCTTATTCTATTCTGGGTACTCTCAACAGGATCCTCTAACTACAGGAGCCACAAAATGGATTTTGAAGAGCACTAGTGTGACAAATTGTTTTATTTCGTTCTTCCCACCTTAGCAGTTTATTTCTCTCTATTGTACAGATCCTACCAAATCCTCCCATGCTGTGAGACCACACTAGACAACCCTGCTGAGTAAAGCAGATTAACTAGAAACCCTTACAGATCCCAGACAAATCTTTCTGAACATGTTATAGAACAGAAGATTTAATACAATGAGAGTTGTTTTTTTAATCTGTGGACAGATCAGTACAGCAGAAGAGAAGAAAAACCCACCTGGCCCCCTTCCTATGTAGACCAGTCTCACTAAGTGGAAGGGGCAAAATTGGAGGAGCTCATGAAATCACTGTAGTGACTTTCAATCATGTCACAGAGATACTCAAATGTTCCTCTTAAAGCTCCAGGCTGTGAAATGTTTTTGCAACAATAAAAGTGCTCACAGCAAAGGTCTGTTTGAGAATCAGTTCAGTAACAGCAAGTTTTCATGCAGAACAGGGATTTCTCGATCAGTCTGTCCTAAATAGATCAAATGTAAACTCAATCCAGCCCACAGAGGCAGGATCAGAAACTGTTATTCTAGTCTTGATTGTAAAAATCAACTCTGTTTCTTCAACTGTTCTGATACTGCATCAGAAAGCTCCATCTTAAAAGTCCCTCAAGAGTAGCATCTTAGCATCTTCTAGCAATCAAGTAATGTGCCTTAGTTTGAACTCACAGATCCCTTTTTTCCTCTTATTTCATACAGAGAGTCTCTTCCTCTTCCCCTCCAGAATGACTATAATTACTCCCTAAAAATACAGAGCATATGGAATGCTTTCCTCTAAGCAAAGGAACAGAGCACCATGAAAGCAATGAACATAAGCAGTTATTAGAGGTGGTTTCTCTTCCCCACCATCTACCCAGAGCTGCTGTGAGTTTCTGTTAAGTCACACTGTGCAGGGGTACAAAACAGCCATGAAAGGATCTGCCTGCATTACACAGAGTTTACTGTTAATTTGCTCTCATACACACACACACCGAGTACATAAACCCATTTTTTTGTTCAGGAAGTGATGATTTGTTGAGAGGACATCCTTTCTGGATATAAAGCCAGCATTAGGATTGTGATTTCAGTTAGCATCTTCACATTGTTTTATGTGACCACTTGAATGTGGTGGTCCTGGCTAATTAGTTTCTGTTAGTTACAAGGGAAATGTCAATGACATTTTCTTAGGGCATAGAGAAACATCAGCTTACTCAAACCAATAACAGCAAATCCACTACCACATGCTTCTGATCATACCTTCAGATTTCCAATCTCTCATGCACTGAACAACAAACTTCACTCCTCCTTTGATGATCTCTTCTCTCTTAGCATTAAACTGAATTAATCATAGGAAGGATGAACACCTTTGAAATTCTTATTTTAAATAAAAACTTTGTCCAAAGCCTAGCTTCAACAACTGACTCAGCTAAACTTTTCTGGTGGACTTAGCAGCAGAGAAGCATAGAAGAACCAACATTTTGTGAAAGTCTGAAGTAATTTTTTTGTAATGGACAAGAGCCAGAAAATCTACCCAGCAGACAGACTCAGTGGATCACACAAACTACCGTCAGAAACATTGTGACAGGGACACTGAGAGCTACACATGGATATGTTACAAACATAAGCAAAGGCTTTCCCTGCCATTCCATTTCAATTGCAGTAAATCAAGAGCTATAATGACAACAACCAGAATTTACAACTAACTGCAAGCAGAAGAGGCACTCATTTCTCCCATGACTTCTAGCTCCTTTGGAGTTTGAGCTTTTCCTGGCAGATAAGAACAAACTGAAAGCCTTTCTAAGGATAAATTGAACACATGAAAATAAATGTGGGTCCTCTCAGACAAAAAAAAAGGCAAACAAGATCCAGGAAGTAACCTAAGAGTAATTTGAAAATCTATCAAGTAGCCCAGAGGAAAAGGGGAAAAACAACTCTTATATGTGGCACTGAGCTGGAAATGGGAAAAGCTTTTCTTGTATCCTTTTGCACAGAACTCTATTGAGTTAAAGGTTTTAAACAACCAAACACCTGTGCAGAAAGACATCTCATCCAAAAGAGTGTTTTATTTTTTTTTCCATGAAATATGAGGGACCAAACGTTAGCCCAAAAACCCAAAGTTCCACCGGTCATATGGAAAAGAAGCCATGTGATGCACATCTGATTCACCTTTATGACACACAACAGTAAGAATTCCTTTGCTATTCTACCAGACTCCTACAAAAGCCCTCAAGTCAATGAATCGTGGCAAAACCAATTTGCAACCTGCAAACTGGAAAGAAAAGCAACACTGCTATGAAAATGGAAATAGTTGCAGATGAAAAATATCTCATTTGTGGTTACAGCCCTGCTCTCTCTTCCAGCTTTCTGAACAGCAGAGAACCCTGCCCTTCAACTTACTGCTAATTCACATCAAGGAAAGAAATTCAAGTCAATTGCTAAGGGTAAAACTGAGAATTAATTATTTTAAGGTTTTTAAGTCTAGGGACAGCACGTAATTGTTAAAGGGACATGAAGGTTCTTTCTAAAGTGAAACACGTTCATTTTCTATTTATACTCCTACTGGAATAAAAAGTATCACTTTGCCAATGCAGTTTTGCCCATTTCAGCCCAAACAAAATGATCATTTTCACACACACAAAAAAAGCAGAATTTCACAAATCTAATCAATATAAAGGTATGAAATTTCCTTTGGCTTGAAAGTGAAAGAATACATACAACTTGACATTTAAACACAGTGCAGTAAATTTCCTAAAATACATTCAGCAAATTTTGAAAAACAGTAAAAATCCATCAGATCTAACATAAACATTTGAGAGTCTTCCCCCTCAGACTGACTGAAGCAGGGAATTACTCACTTGAAGAGAAGAAAAATTTCTTTAATTTCCACTCCCCTTGATAATTTGCCTTACTACCTCGAGAGCAGATGCAAGGAGACAAAACCAGTAATTTACACAAAATAAAAAAAGAACTAACCATTGCCTGCTAACACGTGCCTTAAGCCTGGCACCTTACTAGGCAACACTTCAGTGTTGTGTCACCACGTCTGAGGTCTCACTTCAAATACAGGGTATCTAACCTCCAGTGTGATTAAGAGGAGTCTTCCCATCAAAAAAAACCTGGCTATTAAGCAGTTCCTCCAGAGACTACCTGAGCATTTTCAATGCAAAGGTGAGTTGTGGAGTTATACAACTTAAACGGTGAACAAGGACTAACTGGCTTTAAGGCTAACAGAGGAAGCTAGAGCAAGCAGCCTGAAATGCTCTAAGAGAACTACTCTACAGCCAACAAGCTGTCTTCCTAGTATACAGCCCTTAATGTTCCCACAAAAGCTGATTAAAAATGCAGTTGATGGAATACATGTCTTTTTTTAATTGGTTACTAAAGCAAAGAACTTCGGCATGGCCTTCATTCTCTGTAGTCGGGTAGGTCTTTTCAAATTATGCAAATGATAATACATTTTCTGTATTTGTACTTTGAGTAAAGTTAACAGAATGGAGACCTTTAAAACTGATTGCTGGTTTTGGGCAACTCCATTTGGATAAGTAAATCTGAACACTGGAGTATCTCGAGCTGGATACCCCAGAACAGAAAGATTAAAAACCCAAAAACTAGAATATCGAAAAACTCAGTCTTTCTTCATTGCTTATTCATTGGCCCATGAATTAAATCAGAACTGATATTGATTTAATTAAACAAGTATACCATCTGATAGCATTTATAGAATACTGTTTTCCAAGTCCAAACATGTTCTGCCTCAACAGCTAGAAACAGGAATATTCTCATTAGGTACACAAGTAGGAAGGAAAGGCAACCTTAAAAATCTTTATTTCAAGACAAGAAAAAACCCCAAAGTAAAATCTTACTGAGGTGAAGTTGATTGAAAGGATATATTTTTCATCCAGCCTTAGCTCATGACAGTAATCCCAAAGCCTGGAAGTCATACTAACCAGTTTGAAATTAAAAATAAAACCCCTCAATGACAATGAAGGGCTTTCATGAAAAAGAATGCAGAGTATAATTAGAATGTTTTGAGATTCTTCCTATGTTAATTTGATTGTGATTATTGAAAAAAAAACAAAAACAAATTGTGGCAAGGTGACAATTTCATATTTTTAACAGAAAATGAAAGAAATAATCAAATAATACTGTTGTGTGAATTAGGGAAAAAATTACGCTTTGCTGAAACATTTACTTTATTCCACAGAGAAGTATGGAAGAAAAAGCTTCATTTGCTTTTAAGCTGTTTTAAACAAAAAGAACTACAAACAGAAAAAAATACAAGTGAGTTGACCAGATCTTTTATCATGCTCACTTCCACTAAAATTTCATTAAGAAATATGCATTTCAGCAAAAAAATTCAGAATTAAACCCTCATAGGTTTAACCTAAAAATAAAAATACCACTTTCTAATCAGCCTAAATGACTAAGATATTTAATTGGCTTTCAAATGCAGAAATAACTTTGCATGTTCAGAGGCACAAGTTATATTCCACCCCCGCGATTTGTGTTTCTGAACAAACTGGATAGTATGACACTCCTGTGGTAACCAGGAAAGGATCTTGAGAACAAAAATGGAGAAGTGGTGGATGTTACCTAGCATGTTGTGGTAAAGTGGACTGTCGTGTCCATGGATAGTAAATGCAGTCATGACTAGCGGGACCTCTACACCTGCAGGCAATTACAGAACAGAAGAGGTCATTTGCCATTCACAAGGACATGCACACACATGCACCCTTGTCCACACGTGGAGGATGGAAGACACACAGGGAACGACCACTCAGCAAGTACCTATCCATCAGGCCGATGCAGTCCTCGAGACGTGGCCCTATGCACCTGCAGCAAATCCAAATGGGAAACAGGGAGAGAAAGAGAGAGATCTGTTATTCACATCTCCAAGGAGCAGGAATCCTCTCTTTGTGCCACAGTCTTAATTATCATTCTCAAGAGAGACCCAAATCACCACAAAATTATAGCTTGTGACAAAAGCAAGCCTGCAACAAGAACAATAATAGCAACACAAACAGCACAAGGTTGGACAGATTTTGGCTCAAACAACATTTAAGGCAGGTTTCACCTGTGTACGTGGGAGTCCTGACAATAGAGTTGCTTTTTCTGGATGCTGTCTGAATCATCAAACCAGTCATTACTGCACAAAAGCTGTTCATTTGCAAGATGAGACCTCCAGGAGCACAATAAAACACTTTTTTCCTTTCTGTAATTGATGCAATTGTTCATTCTAAGATCCTATCTAGGGCAACTGCAGAAATATTTGGACGCTGACTACACTTTTATCAGGGAAGCTCAAGGATGAGCTTCTAATAAAAAAATAGAGCAAAAATGGTGTCTGCTGATGCAGGCATTTTATTCTGCTTTTCCTGAGATGCACCTGCAAAATCAGCAGCTGCTCCCCAAAGGCAATGGGAATGCAGGGAATCTTTTTATGCATCAGGACTAAAGCACAGTTATGGGGAAAGACCCCCACAGCCATGGGAGTCTCTGAAACATGGACATGCATAGATTTTTCCTTGCCCTCATGGGAAGAAGTAGGTGAAGTGGTGCCCTAGGTCCTCTGCATTGAAACAGCAACTCAATTACTGACTTACACAGCAGTCAGGATTTTTAGATACAGAAAGTTAAGCCTTTTGGGGACAAAACAACTTAACACCCTTTAGTGCTGAATGCCCAGCTAGTCCCTCTGGAGCCACGAGGAGAGTATCCAGCTCTCAGCATTTCAAGGAAACCAAACCAGGTACCTCAAAAATCTTTAACAAAATCTCAAAACCATTTTATTAACAGGCTTTTTGGCTGTACATCTATGTATGTATACGTGTATGTATGTCTGATGTACACGTCAGGAGACTGAAACTCGCTTCTGTTGAAGCATTTTAAATTTAAGGTAAGATCCCCAACCCTTTTAAAAATCTCCTGCTTTCAGTTTGTCTTCCATAGGGGGGGGATATGCATGTCAAAATCTGAAGGAGTTCAAATATGTTCCTATGAGATCATCTTTGCACTTCACCATCACTTGCCATTCATCAGCATTTAGGTTAGCTATCATTCTGCCATTATAAAATAAATTAATTCAGTTTCCTCCTACCTGCCCATAAGGGAGAACAGAATATTAGTGAACTTCACCTGTTGGTTTTTCACTTGAAATTTTCTGACATAAAGGCTGTGACATGCAAACAAATTGTAAGGATTTCCTGAATAATGGTTTCCATCAGCAAATGGATAGACATAAAAAGGATTCATTAAATGCCCAGGTGCCCAGATAGTGTATAAAACAGAAGGAGTAGACATAAATGTAGTTCAAAAACATAATGGAGAAAACTCCTGATGGCTGTTTTTGAAATTTCAGCTGTCCTGGGCTTCAGGGTTTCACAGTTCAGGACTGTCCGAATTCTAACCAGTGTCGAACGTATCCAACGTTTCTTCCTTTTATGGAATTCTCTGCAATTTTCAGAAAACCAGTTCAGCAATGAAGGATGCCCAAAAAAAGCTGATCAGAACTTCCATTGCCTAGCAGACTCGGAGAAGCTAAGCTATAAATGAAGTTCTTGCTATAAATAAAAAGAAACCTTCTTCAAATTACAGTTCTGAGAGTCCATTACTAGTTCTGGTAACTGGCCCACTCACATAAAGAGCCTGTTGTCTTAGAGTCATTTCACATCTGTACATTTATTCTCTTGGACTTTCAGAGAATAGGCCTTGAATCCAAGAAGACAGAGCTGTTTGAACCTCATCCACTCCAAGCTGAAATACCATTGATTTTTATTTCAACTTGTGATCTTCTTCAGTGGGTTTCCCAGCCCAAACCAAAAACTCTGTCCATGTGCAATTTCCATTACTTCTGGGTCATGTGGAACAGTTTCCTACTCCTTGAATGGCTGCCCTGATAACATGGAGTGAAATGCAATATTGCACGAGTAATTGTAGTATCTATTAACTAGTTGATTTGCACCACTAAATCATCAGTCATTTTTCCTCAAGGATTGATTTCCTTGGTTTCATGCTTTTTGACAAATACAAGCACAAGTAACACGCAGCACTGGCACTCCATTCACCTCCAGGGTTCCTTCTTCTGCTTGGAGTCTGGATGATATTTTTATTTCCAAGTTCACTCTAAAAATGGAACTGGTTAACTGATACATGCCAATTTCTTAAGGATATATTTAGTACCTTTACAACAGTCCAATATATCTTATACAGAAAGTTACACTCAAAGCTCATCCGAGCTTTACAGATGATCATCCTCTGAAAGAAAATGGCAAGTTAAAACAGTTCAGAAAATTGGAGTAACAAGTGTTTTTTTCCAGAAGCAGCCGTTTTACCCTCTCTGTCACAAATGTTGTCTTTCATCAATTTTCATGTAAGAATGAAACGTGGGGTTTTGACTGCACACAGATGTGGAGCAGCAAAGTCACTTCTAGTCAGATGAATTCTCAAAAATCTTTGTCATTGGAAACAAACAAAACAGATTATATAACAGCATAAGCAGATTAATTCTGGACAGGAGAAAATCTTAGTTGTGGCCATGACCTGGTCATCCGTCTATTGCTATGGATGGATAAAGCCAGACAACTCAAACCCAGGGGGTTATTGAGCCACCAGGGTGTGCACACTAGTGGGGACAGTAAGAAAGCTGAACTGGGGGGCAGGAGGAAATTTTGCATCAACAAAATAGTATGTTTCTTATTCAGAGCTTGCTGTCATTGAACTTGTACTATTGTTTCATAATGCCTTCCTGAAAATACACTTTAGGGGCAAGACAGTTCCTCTGCCTTCAAATCCCTTCTGGTCCATACACATGTTGAGGCTCCCACAACTTCTCTGGTCCTGGCTTAGAAGGATAATAAAGTTTTGGTGAAGAGTACTACACTTCCTTCAAAAGCTGTGTGAGAAAATGCCTTTCTGTGATGAGAGGAGGCATCCAGTGAGATCTCCCATTTGTGTCTTGCCCGGCGAGGAAGCAGACTGTCAAATGCTATTATATAATTACTATTTTATTTCAGTGGAAGAGTTCCATTTTGGCTGGCTCTACACAAAGAGGTGCCAAATGCTTTCTGACTCTCTTGAATTAAATGGAATAGCTGTCCCACATGCCTCAGATCTGCTCCAAACTGGCTTCAAGTAGCTGATGTTTATCATGGGGATGCAAGACCAAGAGCACAGTTGTTGCATCCACGGAAGTCACTCCTTCATAGTTCTCTTAGTCAATGTAAGATCATTAACAGGACTGGATAGTTACATACATTAACAGAATCAGTCATTATACTTGAATAAGGGAGGACAATAGTGATACAATATCTCATGCTCCAGGATGTAAAGCCATCATCTGCAAGTGCCATGACAGAACTCCGGAAACACAGAGGTGGGACAGGGATCTTCCTTGGTGAGAGCAACAGGTGGAGAAAACTAGGAATAACATGAGAACTAACAATACATTTTAGCAAGCATCCTTATTCTGAGAGCAGCAGTGAAGGAATAATATCACACCATGAGTGCTTCTCTGCAGCAGCTCAACACTTTTTGACAAGTATGGAAGCTGTACTGCAAGGCATCAGCTTTATTCCACCAATTGATCTAACAGAGAGAAGACATTCTAGGTGAAGTCAAATTACAGATTCTCTGTACCATCCAGTCGTGAGCCAAATATCAAGATGTGTTCCTTCTACAACCTACTTCACTGAAGAAACCTGATGGAGGGGAATTTAAATATTAATTTCTAAAGGAAGGGTATGAAACTAGATAATTCAGTATTGAAGAAGAGAAGAGAAATTGATTCCCTTCTTCTGTGGGCATATTCAGTCCCCAACAGTGCTGGCTAGAACAGAGACAACCCATAAACCCCAAACATCTGGGGCAGTCATTAACAGTTTCATTAACACGCCCAAAAGTCTTTAGGAACATTGGAAAATAATACCCATGCATACCCAGATTTGGGGGGGGGTAATGGGGTGGGTACTTTGAGGAAAAACAAAATACTCAGAAATAGACACATTAACCCTTTAATAAGCAGAGATGAGGATTTCAGTGAGGAATAGTATTAGACTCATGGGAAAGGGATAGCTCCTCATCTTGGAGATGATCACACTTTTGTACATGTAACCTAGTGAAATCAGCTGAAAAATAAACAAAAAAGACAAGGAAGGGAAAACTGAAAGTTCAAGGATTCAGTGACAACCTAATTCAGCTTAAAGGCACCTTGTGTCACCAAGGGTTGCTAATGAATGCTGGCAAGTTCACTTAAAACTGCGTAATGTCTTTCCTATTCATTTAAGAACTAGAATGCCAGGCTTTCATCACAAGGCAAAAAAGCCTCCCTTCTTTAACCTGTTCTATCTGGGGGGATAAAACCAAGGAACCATTTGCAAAATACTGACACTTATGACAAATGGTAAAGGCATGGAAAGACTTCTGCTCTTTTCCTGGTCTAGGAGAAACACAGCTGTGCCATGAAAATTAGTAACCATCAGATCAAGTTAGACCTCCCTAGAAAGAGGGAATGGGAAGCGCCACATCGTTGTCTTCTGAGAGCCCAGTGGAGCTGTAAGACACTTCTCATGCAGGGCGAACACTAAATCTATCATCCATAACTGGGTTTGTCAGATTTGATCAGAATTGGCACTTCCACCATCTATTAAGGTATGAGCACAGCTCCTGAAGTGAGCTCACCTTTCATACTGTTTCTTCTTGTACTTGTCTTCCACAATAGCAGCATTTTTATTTTTGTGTAACTGATTTAAAGGGTCTGAAGGGAAGACAAATCTGTACCAGATCCTGGCTGTTTCTTTGCGATCTCACTTTCATTTCCTTAATGGCTCCACTGTAATTAGATTTGCAAAACCAGCAAAAGGTTTCATTTTGAGTGGCAACAGCTGTTGACATCAAGATAACATTGAATAATTTACTGGCTTAATTTTAGCTGCAAAACAATAAGAGCCTCTTGTTGAAGATTATTCCACTAGCAGGAGTTTTCTCTTTTCTCCCCTGGCTGCCTCTTCCTTTCTTTGTGTGCTGGACACAAGACTTAATGAGAAGTGTCTTACTGAGAAGACATTTATGACTGATGAGGCCCATGTGAAACAATAGTTGTGTATGTGGCTATTATTATTTTCTTGCATAGATTCTTAATTGTGGCTCAGATACCTGGGCGGGGTATTTCCAAATGTAACAAGTGATGTTGGGCACTTAGACAAGACTTGAGAAACTGATGCTCAGGGAATACTCCTGTACAAGTCTGGTTTCAGATAAACCCTTAGCATCAGTTCCCATATAAGGAGAGAGCAGTAACACTTTCATCTTACAGTATTGTTGCCAGGTTAGCTCACCAATATCAAGAAGTAGAGATGAAAATTCTGTCAACAAGGAAATACTAAGGAAAAGCGTAATTTTACAGGCCTACAGGTAGGTAAAAGTCAACGGCAGCATTTGGTCCAAACCAGTGCCGACTAGAAGGAAAGCTAACAGCACTGCTGTGAAAAGTTCTTCTCTAGGGTTTTCAAATGGAGTGTAAACTTTTTTTTCTGATAAGCTCCTGGACATTCACTATTGGAACCCAAATGTTATGAGACCTGAAAATTAAAGGTTATCTTGCTGCTCCACATACACTGTTTTCAGAGGCGGGACAAGTTTTTTTACCAAGACAAACGCCATAAATCACCCCGTGCTATAAACAGTCAATAGGATAAAACACTTCACAGAATCAGCACGTACCCTTGGGTGCAGTTTGGATGACATGGATGGCACTCACGTTCTTCATCAGCATATTTGAAAATAAAGCTGTTAGCCCCCTGTAAGCCATCAGGACATTTTTCCACACAATTTGGACCATCCTTAAAATGGAAACACTTTGTGCAGTGGTCAGGTCCCTGGAAAGCATAGAAAAAAGAAATGCACTGCATTTAAGTTACTCTGTCTTTTCCTGCTGCACTGGAGCTGCAGGTCCCACACTAAAAGTACACTCAGCAGTAACTGCAGGGGCACTTCTTTCCCAATGCACAGCTGTATGACTCCAGTCTCTGATAAGGAGCTGCAGATGTGTAAAACCTGGTGCTTCCAGCAATAAACTTACTCTCTTGAGCATAAGACTAAATTCCAGCTTCTAAACAGGTTTCTCAATACTGCTGGTGTGCTTAACACGAGTGACCTCATGCCTACTTTCACTCTGAGAAACTTCCTACAATATTGTTCAGTACTGAACCACATTTGCAAACTACAATGGCCTCTCACTGGGATCCTCTGCACTGCAGAATTATTTTCCACACTGCATTCACCCCAGGGTATTTGGTCACAATGTTGAAGAACTACAATGCTATGTCTTCTTAATACATAGGTAGACCAGACTGTTATGAACTATAAACCAAGGCTCCTGGGCAAGGTAAAAGCCACATTTTAAAGCTATAATGTTACATTAGTGTGCAACCAGATCTGGTGATCAGGCTGGGCATTGTTCTAGGATTTTATGTTCATGAGCCTTGCTACAACTACAAATATCCTTCGTGGGTTGAACACTTGAAAAATAAGCTTTTTACTTTATAGGTTGTGTTGCAGAAAACTCAGTATTGCAAAAAAAACCCCATTGTTTTGTTGTTTGGTTTTTTTTTTTCTTTCAGTAGGTAACTCACAGAAATAAGAAAATAAGTTACAGGTTAAATTTTCTCCATGAGGAAGAACCTAAAATACAGCTTCTCATTACCCAGGATACTTGCGATTTTTAATCTTGACAACATACATAGAGACCAAAAGAAACAGACAACTTCTACCTCACAAAACAGCAATAATCTTTGAAACAAAATATATTGGCCATTATCCAGGTAACAGCTACAATTAACATAAATTTAGGATGCATGAAAAAAATCCTCTGTCCAAACAACCTAAAAAGGCCAACCTAAATTTAAAAAGCCCCCACAAAACAAATAAAAAAACAAACAAAAACCCCCCAATACATTGTTGAAGCTGAGAGAGTGAGACAAACTCCCACACTTTGTTGTGGAGAAAAAGGTAACTGAAGTTGTAGTAGAACAGGACAGAAATTAATTTAAAAAATTAAAACAATGATAAAGGAGGGTGCTCAAATCACAACTGCAGGCTGTAATTTAAAAAAAACAAACAATAAACAAACTGTGCATCTGTACCACTAAGGCATTAAGACAATTCAGGGGAAAAAAAAGGACATTCATTTTCAAACCACTTAAAGGAGGCTGATCCAAAGAAGTTTATTCCCAACATCAGTTAACATGAGCAAAATTCTTTTCCTACCTGCAGAACATGCTTATTTCCTGCTTTTGTTACCATTAATTTTTGATAGCAGCTTTAAAGTCTGTTAGTGGAAAACGCTTTAGCACACTTTAACAGTCCATACAGCCCGTAATGAACTTTAACAAGCTACAGCCCATAATAAACCAAGTTTGTTCTTACCGGCCCATAGCACGTGATCATGTTTTCTTCCATCTTTTCACACTGGGGATCACACTCCATGCAGACAGAACCATTTGCAAACTCTCGGAATTCCCTAGGAAAACGTTTTGCATGCAGATCATCAGAAGGCCAAAGTGAGACTGAACACAGTTAAAATGGCTGGCTTTCCACCTGGTGCAAATGACTGTAGCTCGTCAAGGTCAGCAGAGTGTGCCAGCTGAGACCACTGCTGTTAATAACATGGAACCAGCTGAAAGCCATCAGCAACCTCATTCCCAGGCAGGTGAAGCAGCAGACATCTTGTTTACCAGGATAAAGCTAGAATTTTTTTTTTCCTCCTTTTTCTTAAGAAATAGGGACCTTATTAGCAGGACAAGGAAGCTTATTTCTTGGGTTTTATCTATGGATTTGTCCCTCATGGCTCAGATTTGGGAAGGCAGTTGTTACATGTGAGACACCACTGTCAGATAGGAAAGGATTAGAAAGTGCTGCTCCTTTTGTTTTAGTTAAGCCTCTGTGCACACTCCTGTTTTAACACCCATTCTCCAAAAGGTTCATAACTTTTTAATCAACAAGAATTCTAGACTGAGGTCTCAATCTCTAAATGTAAAAAAACCCCAATTAATCCTTTTCTCATTTATTTCATGTATCCACAAGAAACTATCACCCAAGTGATTTATTTAGTTTTTATTATCAACCAATTTTAAGAGGG